GGGAGTTGAAGTCCACAAGTCTGAAAGTGGCCAAGGTTGGAGACCCCTGGACTAGACTAAGATACACAGTTTCTCAACAGAGATTAAGATGGACTCGTTGTCATTATTTGGAATTTATTGAGTCCATAGTGGCTGGTGATATAACATATAGGGTGCCAAAAAGATACCCTCGGAGAAAAGATGCAGAAATAGTTATGAAAACAAAAGCATACATTAAGCCCAGGAAATAGAATGTGCGGCATTGCTCTCCTTTAATTCATTGAGATATAAAAGGAAGAGCAGGGAAAACTTAAGTCAAAACAAGATCCCATTAGTGTAGTCTACATCAATAAAATATAGTTCTGAACGAATTTGTGGACTCACTTCCTGACCTTGAAGGACTGACATAAAATAGAAGCTGCAGGAAAACAGGTTATTCCCAAAATGTGACCAAGGAGGCTGGTGGACACCAAAGGAAGACTCTTGGAAGCATTGTTCTACTAGGGACAACCTGTCTGCCCACTTGATCTACTGACACCTACTCTATGCCCTCAAGAGGTGGTGCTAAGGTGAGTTCACCCCATGTAGGATGTTTAACATGGATTTGGTGTCATCCAACAGAACACGCTCTTCTTACGTATGTATGTCTGAACTTCCAACTTCAGAAACACTGTGATATGGAGCAGGGGTGGGATCCGACCGGTGTAACTGCCAGTTTGGTGATTTTACATTTTGTGATTTTACATTTTGGTTCTGACCAGTTCTGGAGAACCAGTAGCGGACATTTTGAGTAGTTCAGAAAACCGGCAAATCCCACCTCTGACTGGCCCCACCTCCATCTATTCTCTACCTCCTGAGTCCCAGCTGATCAGCTGGGTCTTCTTTGGTTGCCCTACACAGGAGAATGGAGCTGGAAAGCAGGCCCAGTGGGGTGGGGAGGGAATGGAGATTTTGCAGTATCCTTCCCCTGCCACCAAGCCACACCCACAGAACCGGTAGTAAAAATATTTGAATCCCCCCCACTGCAACAACCCCATGGTCACGTGATCAAAATGCAGGCATTTGACAACTAGCATGGTTGTAGCATCACCATTTGCAACCTATCCTTAAGTCTTAAGTGGAGTTAGAATCAGAAGGATATGCCTGCCACTGGTTTACATATTTACAGTTGAAAGAGTGATTTAATTTAGACAAAAGGAGTTATGGGTTTGATTTTGTGAAAAATAAATCAGAAATCCTAAGGTGCGGTAGTGATGAACCTATTCTTGCCAAGGTGTATAAATTGTTACTGAATTTGAATTTAAAGAATGTATATATATATAGCACTGCATGATTCAGTGGGCATGGAACTTCTGGACATAATGTAATGTTTGAACAATGGACGAATATGTGGATGAAAGGTTTAAATTTTACACTAAGTTATAATTTAAAAGAGAATTTCTATGAGACGATGTCAAGAATTATAAAAGTATTTCAAACGAATGTTGGAAATGCAAAAGTAAAGAAGGGATCTTTTATCACTTAGGGTGGACATGTAACAAAGCAAAGAAATATTGGAATGGATTCATAACCACAGAATTCACTTAATAACTGCAATGGTTCACTTTACAACTGTGGCAAAAATGGGGCATTGGCTCACTTGCTTAGAAATGTTGTCCTCAATTGTGGACTTAAGTTGAGGATTACCCGTACTGAATTTAAATTTTCAGAGACAGTTTGAGAGTTCCCATATCTCAACCTATCTCTGAAAGCCCAAGAATACAGAACAGTGAAACATTCGGCTTTATTCAGTAAGCAGAAGCCGCTAGCAAAACTTTCAAATATATGCTTTCTTTTGTGTTTCCTTTAACATTCATGGCATAAAAAGGAGAACAAAGCTGCAAGGGCTCAGAGTATTTATTTTAACCAGTCAAGCAAGGTTTTTTTTTCTTCTGATGTATATGTTGCTTTGTAGATCAAGAAAGTAGAACCATTGGCATAATATGGAATGAGGAAGGAAGAGGACAAGAGAAATGTGAGCTGGCTGCACATTTTGTAAAGAGAACAACTCTGGCAGTAGGCAATATGTGAAGAGAGTCATCTCATTTGGGAGAACATTTAAGAAGGATATAACTGAATTTGTTTTCTTGCCTTTGTTGTTCTTAACAGGGACCTAAAGGATTTCCAGGTTCATCCTGCTGGTCCCATTGGGCTATCTGAATTTCTGATATAATCCTCTTTCGGTTATTATGGTAATTATATTCTGAATTATCTCCCATTACAGCTAGTTCAGAATGTACAAAATAGCTACTGATTGTTATCTGCAATGGTTGTTGTTTGACAGACATTGACTGTTTTATTAGTTCATCGTTGATCCTTCAAGTTAGTCCAGACAGAAGAGCAGTTGGGACCTTGGAGATCTTCTAGCCCAACCCCCTCTTAGGCAGAAAACCCTATACTATTTCAGACAAATGATTGTCCAATCTCTTCTTAAAAACTTCCAGCGTTGGAGCATTCACAACTTCTGGAGGCACGTCTACTGATCTGTCAGGAAATTTCTTCTTAGTTCTAGGTTGCTTCTCTCCTTGATTAGTTTCCATCCATTGCTTCTTGTCCTACCTTAAGGTGCTTTGGAGAATAGGTTGATCCCACTCTTCCTTGTGGCAGCCCCTCAAACACTGCTATCATGTCAAGCCTTCTTTTCATTAAACTAGACATACCCAATTCCTGCAATGTTCTTTTTTACATTGTGGCGACCAAAGCTGGATGTAGTATTCTAAGTGTGGTATTACCAAACTATTATAAACAAAGAAGCACAACTAAGTCCTGTCTCAAGTGCTAATCATTCATTGTAACCTTAATTGACCACTGAATCAAATTGGGACTTCCTCTTGGTTAGCCACTCCTGACCAAAGGTTTGGCAAGAAGCTGGTCCTGAAAGATTTTTTAACGAGTTGCTAACCTAATCTTACGTAGCTTTTTCTCTGGTAATATTACACTGATAACTAGAGCATACAAAACATTTGCTAGACCAGGGGTCCCCAACCACCGGGCCGCGGACCGGTACCGGGCCGCGGAACAACTCCTACCGGGCCGCGGCTTGCTGGGCGCCGCCATCTTTTTTTCATGAAAAAGTGCTCCCGGTGAGCTTTTCCGGGTAGAAAGCTCACCGGAAGCACTTTTTCATCAAAAAAAGATGGCGGCGCCCAGCTGATGCCGGTACCGGGCCGCGGCGCCCAGCTGATGCTGGTACCGGGCCGCGGCGTCAAAAAGGTTGGGGATCACTGCCTTATGCCACCAG